TGTGTGGGGGAAATAACATCTTAATCTACAACTTGTGCTTTCCTCAGAGCACTGAAAGCAGAGCCTTAAGTCTGCTCTTTCGATACCACAAGAATTTATGCCTCTAGTAAGGTGAAATTAATCTCTTCTCCATAAATGCACACTGGGAAAATGGGTTTTTGGCTGAGTGACCATGTCATGTCTACCTGGCTGGAAATTTCATTGAAGGCTTCAGGTGAATGATATTATTTGTATGCTGTGAACCCTTACTTGGGAGCAGGAATGGTCAGTGTTGGTGTTGGTGAGTGCCAGAGACTGGTGCTTACCTGCATGGCTGCCAGCTCTGCCAGTCTCCTTCCCTGACCTGCTGGCATTTAGCAGCAGCAGAGTGTCTTCTGAAGCCAGGTGGGAGAGCCAGGCTCAAGAGCACTGCTGCAGTCTCTCCAACACTTGTTGCCATGGCATAGAAGGCAAGACAAAGGAGAGTGCTAGCAAATTCCTTAATTGATGCATCATCGCTGATATCACATAAAACAGGAGCCCTCCAGCTTCTGCATGTTTGCTGATGACTCTGCACTCATCCAGCTCCTGCTTAGTCTTGGCTCTTCTCCCACATACTCCACCCATAGCTGACAAGTTTTGTGCAGCTTTATAACCCCATTAATGTATGAGTCAGGGTGCTGCTTATTAAAAAAGAAGGTGTGTGTGGTCATACAGACAATTATAGGTACAAGAGAGGTAAGGTGGTGCTGAGAACAAGACAGGAATAATTATAAAGTTATTGGACTGTGTAAATGTGGAGGTAATTGCTCCATCCCAAAGCAAATTAAACATAAATAATCAAATAACTCAGCAGAAGTAATGAAGTCTCAAATTAATGACAATTGTGTTTTGCACTTTCCCAGGACCATCTAGCTCTAAGAAAGGCCAACAAGCACTTTAAACTGTAACTTATTGAAGTGTTGAATTATAAAACTGGAATCCAGGACACTACTACCCTTCCTATTTCAGGCAAGTTAACAAATGAATGAAAAAGTAAGAGGTTTCTTGACTGAGTGTCCCAAAAAACCCTAACTATAACCCAGAACATTTACTGTTAAAATTATGAGCCCATGAAAGTCCAAGTTTATAAGAACAAAGTTGTTTACAGACTTCAAATAAAAGCATCCATCATTTTAATGCTGTAACTGCAGATTAAGACAATGCAGATGGGCATAATTTTCCATTCTTAATATGAGACACAACACCATGTGTCTTTAATATAGATACAACATATACATTCAGCTAGAACATTGGTTTATTCTTACATTTCAAATTCCAACTTAAGTCACTATCTAAAAAAAAGTAAGTGAGTACAAATGCAGTAAAGATCATGATGGTATAAAGATCAGTCTTTTAACACAATCTAACATGTTATTTGTAGGATCTACAGAGAATGAAAAGTTTTCTCTATTAATGCTTTGAGTTAATCCTGTATCCAAACATTTTCCCCAATAAGCATCAGATTATTTTTATGTTGGCTATAAAGCTGTCACTCCTCAATAAACAGACATGCTCCTGGTGGGTTTACCTCATTGTCAAAGATCTGTCAATTCATGCATCATCTCATAAGTGGAACCATAGAATCTTTGCTGCACAGCTCCTTGCAAATCCAGCTGAGCAGAGGTTGCTCATCACCTGAGACGATTCCCACCACTGCAGCTCCTGTGCAATTGGTAGTGATTGGAGCTCCCAAAACAAGTTCACAAAATCCCTGAAGTTAATAGTTCTGCCTCCCTTTAAAGGAAAGTTATGTGACCTTCAATGCTCTGCTCAACTGAGCCTTCGTTTAGTGAGTCTCAATTAAATTTTATGTTTTGTGACTCCCATTTTCCTGTAAGACAAAAAAAGAGTTCAAGGGATGGATCCTTTGAAGAATTTAATTCCCCATGAAGAAAATGTATTTCCAATTAAAGAGATACTCAAAGTTTGGGGGAAGGGAGTTTTTGTAGAACTTTCTGTTGGTTTTTTGTTTGTTTTTGTTTTTTGGGTTTTTGTTTGTTTTGCTTTTGTTTGGTTGGGTTTTTGTTTGTTTGTTTTGTTTTGTTTTGTTCAAAGATTTCTAGTGTTTTGTAAAGATGAAGAAGTTTTCTGATTCTTTGAAATGGACATTGTTCTGTTAGTGATTAGACAATTACTTCCTCTGTCCTTTTCATTGTAATGAGGACAAAATCAGAGGGATGGTTGAAGAATTTTGGCAGTTATTTGTGATGGAGCTTTCTATGAAATCACCAGATTGCTCCAGTGATATTGTAGTAACATAGTACTGGTTGATTTTCAGTAAGAGCCACTGCAGCAAATGAATCATTTGCATATGTGTTCATAAAAATAAAAAATTACTAGGCTGACTCTGCATACTTAACCCCAACATAACAAGGTCAAAAAATTAAGACACAATGAAGTGTCTCACCTGAACTGGGCTTTGACATTCTGGTTTACTTTAGGTGCTACTACTGAAAAATGTAAGTACAAATCAGCATAAGCAATATTCTCAAATGTAAACATTTTCAGGGACAGGCCATTAGTAACACTTCTTTTCCCATTGTGTTTCTTTATTTAGTTAGGATTTTTTTTTGGTCGATTTAACGTAAAGTCACAGATGCCAAAAGGGAATTCAGAGCACTGGAGAAAGATGCCTAAACCCTTTTTCATTTAGTTTAGTTCTTTTCACTTTAGTTTATGCCTAAACTCTTTATAGATTTAGATATTTAGATATTTTCAGAAAATGCCACACACCATCGGGAGTGTTTCATATTGCCAATATGAAATAAACATGGGACATAAATGAGTTTCTTATACCCTCCTCACAGACTTACACACCTGAGTCTGAACTCCTCATGACTGATTTTGTTTGCTTGGTATCTAAATGTGAAGCCCTTTCTTGGGGGTCTCTTCTGCATACTTTTGTGGCCACACAAGGAATGGTTTATCAGGATTAAAGGTTTCCACAAACTAAAATAATTCACATTCCACCCTCACTTCCTTCACAGTTGTCGTAATCACCATGCTCCAGAAAACCAGACAACTTGTGCAGACAGGAATGAAAGACTCATGGAGTCATACAGGTTTTTCAGGATTAACTGATTTATTTTTCTTATTTTTATCTGAAATTTAACATTATAGTTCATCTGAGATTTTTAATCTCATTTTATTCCCCAGTGTTTCCTACTGGCATCTGTTTAATGTGAACTTCTGCCTCTGTCTAACTTCCTGGAGAGAAACAGGTACTCATGACTTTTGCTTTTTGACTGCTTGTATTGACTGTTTGTATTGAGTATTGACTGCTTTTGAAACAAGCAAGTAAAACTCTGTATTAGCTGTTGCCCAACAGAAATTTGGTGCAATCCACTGCTAAACTGTGATTTAAATATAGAATATTTTTGTGTAATCATCTTTTTTCTGCTCACAGATTCATGACTTGTTACAGACATTAAAAATATTCTGGATTATTTCCAGTATCGAGGCACAAGAGTTCCATAGGAAAAAACCAATGAATAATCAATTACCTTGGAAGGTGTCTCTTGATTTAGACTCTTTCCCTCTTTCTAGTATATGAAATATACTAGCAAATTAGGATGAGATAAACACTGTTTTCATACTCACTGACTTAAATATTGAAACTATTTTTCTATTTAAAAATAGTTCTACATTATTGTGAATATTAATACCTCAATAGTTTTCATTTGAGAAGCAATACAAGTTAGCATAAACCCAGCCTAGAAAACCTCAGAAGCCACAGATTATCATTTGTGTGGAATCTTTTTAGCTTTTAAGCTTTTTAATGTCTTTTGTAGGGAAAAAGACAACATTAATCTCTCAACAAAAAGGAATTTGCAACTAATAAGGGCAGCTGCAACAACTTCCTCTTTCAACACCTCAATGAAACTTCTTTGTATGTCCCTTCTCATTTCAAACCATCTGGTTCTATATGGATGTACTTAGGTAATTCAGCTTAGCTAAATCTCACTGCAAGAAACAAAACTCGTCTAGTTATTAATTTTCACTGCTCGTCTCGCCTCTGTTTTTCCAGTGCAGCTTGTGTATGCAAGAAGTCAATGCACCTCACTGCACCTATGCTGCCTCCACACCCAGCATCTGCACCACTATATACAGCAGCAGTTCCATTTTGATGAATATTTAGGTTGGACTCATGATCCAGAGGTCTTTTCCAACCAAATTGTTGCTGTGATATATGGATTAAAAAAAAAAAATAAATTGGGTTGCTATGGTATTAAAAAAGTTTGTGGAAATCCTGCCAGCTACTCAAAGCTGGGTTTTACTAATTAGAGTTACCTTGATTAAAGGCTAGCTTCCAAAGAGCTCCTGTGGATAACAGGCTTAACTTTAAGCATATGATTGATCCCATTACATTCACTGGCTTTAACTGGACTGCTCATAAAATTAAGCCTATATTTAAATGCCTTTCTGGATCAGAACCCAACTCCCTTAGAAGATCTCAGGCTTAGAGCAGTGGTATCTTATGATGCCAGTATGATTCAAGCAACTGACGAACATACTTGTTTTTTCCATATTCTGTCAAACTGAGAAGCTGTGGAATTTTGCTTACACATTTCCTGGAAACATTGTCTCCCACAGGTAACTGGGAATGCCATTTCATCAGAGCCTGTAACAAGTGATATGCTCAGCCTGAGCTAGTTACTAAGCCAGGATAAGACAGATGAGTGAAGACACAGCAATACACTGATGCAGCCACCCTGCCCCGGTGCTGAAGCAGGGATTGCACCACTGTCTCAGTGCAGCTGTGCATTCTCTCTTTGGTTATAATAGCCAAAAATGGCATTGTGAGTCTAATTTAGACTAATCAAGACTTTTCAAATTGTGCTCGTTATGTAAGACTGTGTTTGCCAAATTCTTGCAATTGCAAAAAGAAGAGTGGAATATAAAGAAGATCTAATGTCTGGAAAATGGGTGATTAAGAAAGGTTGCATAAAATTGACAATTTAAAAAACATATACTCTTACCCTTCTCGTTGGAAAATAGTCCTAAAACAGTCCCCCAGGCTCTTGTAACTGGTTGGATCAGTTTTCCCTCTTTGAATTTGGAACCTAAAAAAAATACAATTTACATCACAGCATGAGAAGTCAGGGATTTTAAGTCACTTTTAACTTTCCAATCATTATATAAAAGGAGTTTTAAAGGGTTTTTTTTTTATGTCTCTGATTCATTATTATATACTGTTCCTGATATACTTATTAACACTGTTTTCATAGAAGCTGTTAAACCAAGGAAAAATAGAGCTTTAGTAGTAACTTTTTTTGTAGTTTATGGAACTCACAGTATAGCTATCACCTTTGACATTTACACCTCTTTCTAGTTGTTTGAAAAATAAGCTGTTAACCCTGTGCCTGATCCAAAGCCCACTGAAACTAATGTGAGTGTTTGAGTCTTTTGAAAATGTGGAATGTAATACTATCGTGTGTTGCCCATTTTTATATCTGACACAATTACCACAAAAATCAAGCAGAGACATGATCAGATATTAGAGCACCATTCATTTTTCATAATTCAATAATAAGATGAACAATAAAACCAAGCAATGAATTATTCTAATTGAAACCTTATTTTCTCTATTCAGATTTTGACAACAATAAAAATTTGAACATCAAGCTTGTGGCCTTGAAAGAAAAATCAAGATTATGATTTAAGATTGTAAACTATTTATTGTTATAATTTATAGATAGCAACAGTGAGTTTAACAAACTATATTATTTTGCTAAGTATCTCAGTTAGAGAATCCTGTTTCTTTCAGTTTCAGAAGTGCAGCTGGCACATTCAAGTAAATAGAATGGAGATATTTAGATTAATTTTTAGCAACATAACTTGTTTTTAAATTGCTGATTACCAAATAGCACAAAAAATAAAAAGAATATTGCTGTTGGCAATTCCAGTCTAAAACAGCCCTACATCAGGCAACCACTATACTATGGTTACAATAATAATCCTGGTTTCAAGGAATCATTCGCATTACGGTCAAGTACACCACTTGTCACAGGTACACTGCTGTTCTGAGAAACATCAATTGTTATTTATTCTGATCACGATACTGGATCTCATTTATATGAGATACTGAATCAAGGCATTTTTAACTCAAGGTTAAATAGCAATTTTCTCCTCTCTCACGGAATTCAGTAAGGTCAAGTCAACATTTGCATTGTGGCAAAAGGCATTCATTGTTTTGAACATCAGTATTTCTGTGCTAACACAGCTAAAATTGTCTTCAATTTGAGGAAAAAATTTCAAGTGATGCAATTCTTTGGGTAATTATGAAGGCAAGCCCACAGCTTTTTTAAAACAGTTAGAAGGAAACACTGAGTCCCTCCATAGTCCTAATAAAAGTAGTTCAGGCACATCTGGGATCTCTATCTGGGGTAACCTCTTTTATTAGCACAAGAACTTGCTGCCAAGTTGGCAGAAAGAAGAATGCTATTCAATAGGCTTACACTCAAATAAGAGCTGGTGCATAACATTTTGTCTGAAAAGATCCCTTGGGAAGGCTAATAGTTGAAAAAAATGCCTCAATGCCATCAGCATAGTCCAACAGCAATACCAGCTACAGAAGCTTTTACATTGTGGCAGTCAAGCAATCCAAATTATAACAGAACCTAGTTTCTATGCACATTTTAATATATTTAAGAGTTGATTGTTTATTCACCTCAGCTCAAAATTAAAAATGTCTTTCTTTTTCTTAAAGAAAACTTGCAAGAACTCACCTCATACTTTCTCAAAGTATTTAAAAACAATGTTTTTTCATCTCAAACTCTTTTCCTCGAGTTTCAAGATTTGGCCTCCTTGTAAACTCAAAAAAGTATCACTGTTTCTAAAACATCCTTCGAATAACACACTTTGTTCTCTTTCACCCTGCAAATGCTCAGCAATGTCTTACTTGCATGTGTATAAGGCTCCCCACTAAATCATGCATGCAAAACTGTTTGTTGCACTGGGGCTTTAATTCCAGAGTCACAGTGGATCTCAACAACATAGTGAACATATTTATATAATTCTATTTAACAGCTTACACATTGGCAACTTCTCAACTAAATTTAAATGATTCAATAAAAATACGTCTTTTATAGCAATAATGTAAGTAATGGCATAAGAAATGCAATAATCCTGTAGGTAATTTATGCTTTATCAGATGAAGGATAACTTCTTGCTAAAGAAGTTAAATCAAAGAAGCTTTACATTTATTTCACATATTTGTTTTAATATAGATAAGACTTTAGTGTTAAACGAGTCCATTTGTTACACTGAGTCACACAAATAACATATTCCTTCCTTTAGGGTTTTTGGATCCATTCCTTCCCTAGTAAATCTATTTTACAGCTTTAACAGCAATTCTAAAATACATGCCAATTATGTGCTTCAACCTAAATCTGCTGATTGGGTTCTTTGATTCAGAATTGCTTGCCTCAATAAAATCATGTGTAACTTTTTAATGAACTAACTAATTGATCACCAGCACTTATTATAAGAAGCTCAGGGAAGAGCTGAAAAAAAAAGTTTGTTTGTTTTCCTGGAGACAGTAGCGGCAGCCTCTGTTAGTAGAAGAAGAAGAGCTAACGCATTCCCTTAAAGAAAACCCCAACCTGGCCTGTTTTAATGATTGTTTAGAGGAATGAACACAACTGCGGGATATGTAATGGCTTTCTCTGCTTCAAATCCGTTCCTTTCTAAAAGCACTATAAAACCACTGAATTTCATGCATTTTTGAAAGTTGGATGGCTGCCTTGTATCCTTTTAGCTTTTGCTAGACCAAAAAAGATAAATTCCCCTCTAAATACCATTGGAGCACTAACTTCTGATCTAATAATTTTGAAGTGTGATGGCAGGCAGCCCTCAGTGACATGCTGAACAGCCATATGTGCAGGAATGCTTTCCCAGGGCTGGGATGGGCGACCTCCTACTCACTACCAGCATCCAACAAGTGTCAGAAGCCACTGGACACTCCAAAACATTGTGTGTTTACTGCAAGCTTTGTCACTTTAAAAATAAGCATCAGGCTAACTTTCCTCCCCTGTCATTTTCCTTCTCCTTGGCTTTCTGGGCAGAATGCTGTGGTGCTGAGCACTCCCACCCCCACAACGCTCACCGAGCTGGGGGAGGCACTTTGCACCCTGGGTTGCCTCTTCCTACCTGGGACCAGCCAAGGCATTTACTGCCTGCCCCCTTGGCTCCTTGCAGCTCCCACATCCATCTCCCATGCCATGAGGGACATCACATTTTCTTTTTCTGGCTTGTAGCAGCAGTCCAAAGGGCTTTGTCTTCCCTGTCCCCTTTGAATGAACAGTACCTCTGCAGTGGCCACTAGATACCAAAGTGCCACACTAGGTACCAAAGTGCCACACTAGATACCAAAGTGCCCTGATAATGTTTAAGAAGAGAACATTAGTGTCCTTTCCTGTTCACTGCAAAAGACACAAGTTTGGGATCTCTATAAAAAGTGGGAACCATGAAAAACTATTTGAGGTTTTGGGGTCTGTTCAAAAGGCATTGAAAACTGATGATTTAAAACCATGAAAATATTTTAGCTTGCCCATACTAATCAGCACTGAAACTTCTAGTTGTGAAAGGAATAAACCTAAATTATTGTTATTTTACTAGCATGAGAGAGAACATTTCTTTATGGTTATAACAGTCCTTGATCAATAAGTCTCAATGGGCTCTGCCTGAAATTCCATAATGTAGAAGATGCTTGAGTTCTTTCAGCAGTTCTCTGAACCACTTATCATTTAACAAGTGATCTATCATGTTGTGGAGCAATGACTCTACACAAACACATAACACATGCATCTGTTTCCAATGCCTAACTCACAGTCCTTGTTGGTTTTTTTAATAGCCAGCATTTCATTCTGAGTTCAACAAACTCCTCAGTCCGGATCATGCTTTTCTGATCCCATTCCTATTGCAAAAGTCCTCTAGGTAACCTTTTCTAATAGAAACAATAACTACAGAAGAACAAATAGATGCCTGTGCTTTATGAAAAAAAGATTCTCTCACATCCCTCTATAATTTGCTAAATTTTTTGTTCACGTTTGCTGAATATCTCATCAAAGTTTTCTTGTGCACGTCTGCTACTACATTATCTAGATATTTAGTGTTTAAAGCCTGTTTGCCACAACATTACCTAAAAATCCTCCCTGTTTTATTTACTGATCTGGGCTGGAGAAAGTTTTCTAATTCATATTGACATTATTTTAGTCATCTTAAAATCTAAAAAGAAGAAACCAGTATTTTCATATCTAGATTGAAGCACATAGTGAGCATTTAAGTCCCAGTTATGTAGGACAACCCCAATGTGATATGGAGCAGTCTAGACTTGTCAGATTGTTGCCATTGGATTCTCAAAGACCCTCATGCATAAATTCCAGAATTTCTTGCTTTTTTTATGCAGCACTGCTGACTAGTTTCTCAACCACAGAGTTCAGAGGGAAAGAAAAACACTGACTCAGAGAAGCAAGCTTTATACCAGGCTGCAGTGCTTGCCAAGGAGTGGCAGCCTTAGCTGTATTTTCCTTCTCTGCACATCTCAGTAGGATTTTATCACATGCTCTACTTGGTTTTGAATACAGCTCCTAACATTTCCATTCATGGCTGGGGTTTGTGCAGTACCAGAGCAAATAAACTTGGGAACTGACGTATATAGATGCTATACAGAAGATAATTACATGGCATAACAACAAAACAAATTAAAATATCTGTGCAACTTTAATTTTAAAAGAACTTTAAAATAAATGTATAGTTCTTGGAAAACTGAAAACATGAACAGCTTTTTTGCACGTTCAGTAATTCCCATGATTCCAGACACTCCTAACTGTATTTACCACACCCTTATATGTTGATAAAAGAATGTATAGTCTGAAGTTTTATATAAATATACATTATCTAACAGTTACATACAATAAAATAAAATAACTGCCTAATATTTTTAAAAGATTTTGATTTGTTAAGTTAAACATTTATGCAGGTGTTACTATGAGTGATATCTACTGATGCTTAAATTTCATGCAAAACTTTGGACTGGAAAACGGACCTCAATAATATAATT